TGGCTGCAGCCTTTTATAACATAAAAATGCTCCTTGGGGAGTCTGTGATCCCATCTGAATTTTGGAGAGGAACCAAAGAGCAGGAGAGAAGACAAATGACCAAAATTCCCAAGAGGTCTTCACTCGACCTCTTTTAGCCTTTAGCAACTACTTATCAATGTCTATCTCACCAATGGTCAAACTGAAGTCTGAACCATTTAATAATATTGTGAGTCATGAATTAAAGGTGATGTCTAGAGATATGTAAAAATGAATCCAAAATAGGGAGGGAGGAATAGCTGCCACTCAGAAGGTAAGAGCTGGTCTTGAAGATTATCTTGAAGCTCAGGAATTACATTAAACACATCAGGAATGAGCACCAAGTGTTTAACCACAAGGGGGACAGGGGCAGGGGCCCACATATGATACAGTACTGTCGCCAAAAAAACAAACAAAAAATGTGGCAATCCAACAATCCTCAAAATGAATATAGGTTATATATCATTTTATTAAAGCGCCATTGTATTTTATGTAGTAAGAGAAGCTAGGCACGTAAGAATGTTCTCGTAATCCCCATCCTGAGCTTGGCTTTCACAAAGCACCAATGTGAATAAGGCACCACATTCTATTTGGGCAACTAAACTGAGTGTGAATCCGAAAAACAGAATGGCAGTGAAAATTACTAAGTCCTTGGAAATAAAGAGCTATGAAAAATGGCTTAAGTAGGTGGGATTATTTATCACTGAAATAAAAACACCAGGGGAATGACTTCACTGTGGTTTTTAAACACAGGGAAGGTGACCAGCTGTTCTTTTTCCACTGCACACTGAACAAAAGAAGGCCGGTTTGAATTTCTATAAGGAAGACATACAAAGAACTATCTGATCAGCAGGATAGGTTACAGAATCTCCTTTACTGAAAATCCAGAATCCCATCCACAGCCATATGTCTGAAATAATTCAGGCGCAACCTTGTCTGTCATCAGGGGGAGCATGCTAGATAATCCAAACTTTCTCCCACCCCCAAAACTCTGAAATTGGAATCAAAGCTATTGGCTTACAGTCAGACTTCCTTTTGTTTAGTTTCACCCTGAACCTAGAAAGGAGGTAATATAGCAAAGATGACCAAACACCCCAATGAGGCCTCCTAACTGGTATCTCGGTATCAGAAAAAGCTTTTCTCCGTGTATGATTTCACACCTCCAAAACAGAGTCCATTCACAGATCTTTTAAAGCAGAAGACAATGCCTGGCTCTTGTGCACTCATTCCTTGTCCTGTTCCCTACAATGTCTGCTTTTCCTTATTAAGTCTTGGCCTAAACTCAGAATTTCACATCATCTAAAAAATTGATTGAGCGAATAGCTAAAATTATAAATAAGGTCCTTCAGGTTGTAGAATTTAAGTGAAATTGATCCAAATGTCATATTTTTAAATGGGGAGAACATAAATCTGATTTTGAAATGAACAACTGGCTTGCCTTTCTCTTTAACACTATAAAACATAAAGAAGCAATAAAAACATTTCAAATACATTTGCAATCATATCAAATTTTTTGGGGGGAACAATGAGGGAAAGAAGCAATCCAGCTACTGACTGCATTTAGCATTTTCTCGTGGTACCAGAAATCTGTAATTATCATGCATGCTTTCACTTCAAGCCTATTAAAGATGAGTGACAAACTGGCAGGTAGTGGGCCAAATCAGGTCCACACCCATGTGTTCTGTTGGGTCTGAATGCATTTTAAAATGCTTAACCAAGTCAGAATTTTTCATATAAAAATCGATATTCTCAGCTTTTCTTGAAAGATGGGAAGATCAGGAAATACTGTGTGGACAAAACTGGCTGGAGTAGCTGCCCCCTTGTACGTAGAAGAGGAGCATTTCAGTTTGCCATGGTCCCCACCATGCCCTATGGTCTCCCCAGCACTGAGAGGACATCAATGCCATGTATAATCATACCTCATTTATCATTACACCTGTCCTGCTACACTGGCACCTCCTGAAAGCATGCCATGTTGAATAAAAGTAGCAGTCTTCACCAACAAAATGAAATAGAAAAGTCTAATAACTTTCACATTGGCATTGTCCACTTCTCTCCAATAATGACATGAATAATTCCTATCTCTGAAAGAGCCGAAATAGTGTTCAGGCAGTTGAGGACTGCAGGGCTTTCTCTCATTGGAGAGGAGGGTATGTTATTTCTTCTCCAAGAAAATAGTTATTTTTTTCTTCCTTTTTAAAGATGCTCAACCCTGGGTGGGAGAGTGGAGGAGGGGGGCTCTAAAAAAAAAAAATCACATAAACCCACTTTTTTAGTTAGATGGTTTTTATGCTTATTTACGCTTAAGTCAGGGAACCTAAGGTTAGGGGTTGGTTAAAAAAAAAAAGACTTGTGGCTATGAAGTAGTAAGACTAAACTTTGACAAACATACGTGAACTTAAATTACTACACATTGATTCCAATGATGTCATTGTTGCTAAAGATATATTTTTGAACTTCTAATCTGGGACTATCTTCAGTTATTGCTAATGTGTCAACCAAAAACTGTCTCATGACTTTATGAACCCATCTCATTTCTGTCTCAAAATACTATTACCGCCCTGGCCGGTTTGGTTCAGCGGTTAGAGCATCGGCCTGCGGTCCAGAGACCCAGGTTCGGTTCCCGCTAAGGAACCGATCTGTACCTCGGCTGCAGATTGTCCCCGGCCCTGGTTGGTCATGCGGGTGGCAGCCACTCGATGTGTCCCTTTCACATCGATGTTTCTCTCTCTCTCTCTTCCTCTCTCTCCCTCCCACTCTATCTGAACAAAAAATGGAAAAATGACCTCGGGTAAGGATAAAAAAAAAAATACTATTACCTGGCTGGGTCACCCACCTAGGCCTGGACCTGAATGACTTCTGACTCATTCTAGAGATCTGTGACTCAAAGGCCCAGGACTTGGCCCTCTGGAGTACCTTCAGTCTGTTGTGGGCTGGGCAATGCCCACCCAGGTGGTCCTTACTGCTTGTAGTTCACCTGAGAGAAGAGTATGCCTTGACCTGGGCTTTTACCTCCCTGATCACTCTCCTGGAAAAGTTGACTGTGTCAGATGCTAATTCCTTTATGCAGGGCATTGGTGACTTAAGATAAACAACCAGCTCCCTACTTTCAACTACCTGCAGGCTTCTTGGTTACCTGGAACCTTGGACTTATACTTGTTCTCCTATCCAGAGGACACCATGTTACTCAGCTACACAAGCCTTTGAATCGCAGGATCAAGGAGTCATTGAGATCATCCCTATATTCTACTTCTTCTTTCCCCAATGTCTAAAAGCCTGTGACTTAGAGAACACTTATCTGAATTCTGGTTTATCAGTTCCACTGTCCAGAACAATGTATGAGTCAAAAAATGGAGCTTTGCTTAAAACAGATGTTTTGCCTTAATCTACAAGGTAATTATTCCCACTCCCAGCATGAGATGGGGAGGGTGAAAAAAAAACAACAAAAAACTGAAACTAATAAGGCAAAACCAGGAAGTTGGACTTCTCAACTTATTCTGAGTTAGGCTTTCCCACTGTGGTTTCATTACTTCGTACAACAGTTTGATTTTGTTGAACATCACAAACATTAGTGTTTCAAGATAAGTGCCTAAATCCTAAATCCAAACTAAAAACATTATCTGATTTTTGGACTAGTGCCTTTTTTCCCTTCCATTTTCATGAGTTCATTTAGCAAGCTTTCTGCCAATGCTCATGAAGCCCAGCTGATGTTCCCTTGCCCTCATCCTCCATGCTGTCACAGGGGCCACTTTCTCAGCAAAGCTGAATATCTATCCTAAAAGTAGCCCTTAATGTTTCCTTTGGGGCATGCACCATTTGGTCTCAATAAGAAATCTCTCTCATAACGTTCCAAAGTGAATTTTCATATGCTGGCAAGTTTGAACTGACCAACCTCCTTCACAGAATGCATGCTGAGGATGGAATGGCAGGACAGTCACATGTGGGCAGAAGCTCTGTGCTTGCCCTGTATACCATGGTGACAACATGGAACATCTCTTCTCCAACAAGATGCCTGGTTTTATGGGAGAGGCAGTTCTTCTCACTTGTCTCTCCCCAGAGCAGCTGCAGGAAACTCGATGCCAGAGAACAGACGATCACGTTCTTCTCCCAAGAAGCTGCCAGCTGCCTTTACAGAGCAGGGAGTGTGGCATTTGCATCAAAAATACACACAAACCTCTTCTTTCCAGGAGGATTGCAAACTTTCCCTTCCCCACCTGCCAAGCATGTGCTTGGAAAGAGAAGTCCTGCTTCATCCCACCCTCTACACCTCCTCAGGACATTTCTCGGCATCCCCTGTAATACTGGTCCTGTTTGCTGGAGTCAAAACCCTGGTCCCTGGTATGCACACTGAGAAAACAGGGTGCCAAATTCAACAGTACCTATGAAATAGGTGGAAAAGGATGCTCACACCCCCAGAAGGGCACAAGGAGAAGGGAACAACTGTTTTACCTTTGGAAACAGAAATTCTGTAGAGAAGTCATTCATAAAAACAGAAGACTTGCTTTTTCTTTTTAAAGACAATTCTTTCCTCCTAAGTTCTAAATAGCTGTTTCTGGTACGATGGAACACAAGAGACAAATTTTGCTTTGGGTAAGTACAATAGAAACACAAAGTGAAACATGAGTCACAGGCTGGTTTGTGGGGGGAATACTTTAAGATTCAAGAATTTAATGATTTCAGGTCCCATGTCTTCTTTAGACAATATTCGAAGAGCACATTCAACTTTGGGACAGTCTCCTCCTTTCCACCTTCTTAAATAGAGGTTTGTCATTAGTCAAAGCCAGTACAGCAGATTAACTTGCCACCACCTCCACACACTGCCATATTTCAGTGGATTCTGACCCCGAATATTCTGGACACAGCTTTAGACCAGAGGCCAACAGACACATGAACTGTAACTTCTAGTACTACAGCCCAGCTGTGTACCAGTCTCTTAAAAATAAAATTCAAGGCACCAACATCTGAGATGCAGTGCAGTAAATGTAGCCCAGGAACACTTGGCAGCAGATCTGGCCCTCGCATGATGCCTACTCAGACCAAGAGGTGGTCCTGGGTCCGACCGAGTTCTGGTGCCTTTGCATGTTGACCAACCCATCTCAGAAAGAATGGTTTAGATGGTCATCCTGGCCCTGCAGCCCCCACCTCAGCCAGCCATGCCACCTACTAATACATAAAGACTCATTTTATGAGAGGTGATTATATATTCAGTCACCTTCTTGACCGTTTTTAACACCCATGGCATCATAAGTTCCACACCAAAAATAGACAGGAACATCATCTGTAATGACATGGATTCCAGATAGACTGAAACTTGATTTCTGTGTGGTTGTAAAAACAATGAAAGTGCTTTTTCTACAAAGCCTTTCAAATCAAAGAAGCCAACAGTAAATAGGCAGAGTTTGCAGAGATAAATTAAGTCTGAACGATCAGTGCAGGTATCTTCCTGTTTCTCTTTACATGTTTCCTCCTAACCTCCCAGTACTGGCTCTAATCCAAGGTCTGACCTACCATGGCAAGCTGTTGTCAGATCTTATGGGCATGCCTTTCCGAGCTCCATGTGGTTTTACAAAATTGGAGACTTTGCCAAGATATCTGTTAGAAGGTGGGGGCAAAGAGAACAAGTACTGGCACCAATTTCACTCCAAACATCCTTGTAGGAAACCCCAGCTCCAAGTGAGCTACACAACCAGAGAGATGAGCTGGGGAACCAGAAAGAGAGGCGGCAGCTAAAGTGGCAATGCTTAGACTCTTCCGTTTCGTTACAAAGGGGCGACCACGTGGAGTTCACCAGTGTAGCTGCAGCAACCAGGTTCTGCTTTATACACCCCAGAGGTGAGGAGCTTGGACGGAAGGGCAGGAGGGTCCTCCTCACCTAAGGAAAGAAGAGAGGGCAGAGCCACATGTCATTGTACCTCACTGGGCTGGACACTCAAGCCAGAACTAATCTGGGTTTGAACTATAGGCTTTAGGCAAGTGAGGTAGGCATCCCAACCAGCACCAGATGGAGTGTCCTCATGCTGCTAAGTTCCCTTAGTTAAGGGTCAAGGGTTTGCATGCGTGACTCCAACTAGTCACAGGCACAGGAAGGAGCAACATGACATAGCATCTGGCAGGGGCTCCCTGGGGAAGTGGGGCCTCCTACAGAGGTGCCTGTGCTGAGCTGTGAAGGAGAGAAGACTCTCCTTGAGTTCTCTCTGTGAACCTCAGGGTCAACAGACATGGCTTTAAAGACATTCTGAGGGTTCGGGATAGTAAACACTACAAGCTCCAACAAAGATCCAGGTTCACAGACCCTCATCTAACACTGTTGGGGCCCACTGCGCTTTGGTATTCAGGTATTTTTAGAGTTTAGGAAGGTGCTATAAAGCACATACTGTATACAACATAACATGGGACCGGGCAGCTCACCACCATTTAGCTAATCAGTTCACACATGTGAACATTCCCATTACCTGGGATAAATAGGAACTATCAATGCAGCTGTATTACGTCCCATCGTGTTTCACTGTCAAATAAGCTTGCACCCAAAGTAGAAAAAACACTTTCACAGATTTCGGAATTAGGAACAGATGCTGTGGCCCGCATCGGAACCGACCCCCCCGCACTCTGCTCCCCCACCCCCCGCACCTTACCCAGGCCTGAGGAGGACGACACGCTCTCCGTCAGCGAGGACGTTTCCGTTTGGTCCGCCGAGAGCCCTTCCATCAGGGGCAGAGACAGCTCAGAGGAGGGCACGGACGAGTCGTAGATGCCCGAGTCCCGCGGCATGCCCGAGGCGCCCACGGCTTTCACCGCGTGCAGCAGGGGCTGCAGGGCGGAGCTGCCGCAGGAGCCCGGCCCGGCCTCCGCGTCTTCGTCCAGGCCCAGCTGCTGACCCTCCGCGTGCGAGTCGGCCGGCGACGCGGGGACCGGAGACCCGGGGCCGGGCGCCTCAGCCTTGAGGCACAAGTCGCTCTCCGGCCCTGGTTTGCACATGACGTCATTCAGAACCAAGCCGGAGTCAAACTTCTCCAGGACTGGCTCCTGGTAGCGGAGTGGGGGAGGGTGGAAGGGGACGAACTGCTTCTCGAACCAATCGGGCTCCTCGTCGATGAACTGGTGCATGTTGCAAATGGCGACGTACAGGGACCGGCCCGACTTGCTCCGGAAGTAGTTCCTCCTGCTGACGTGGCCAGGGTGCGGCCCAGGCTCCGGCAGGCTGTGGTCTCGCGAGTGCAGGTGGGAGCAGAGCTGGGGAAGGTTGTCCATGAGCTTGTACTTGGTGCTCAGGTCCAGGACGCCCGGAACGTCTCCCTCGCAGGAATAGTCAAAGTAGACGGCGATGAACTTGCTGAGCGCCGTAGATGAGCTCTGTTTGGCCTGGCGGAGCTTTTCAGCGATGGCAGACACTGCCACCAGGAAGAGCTCCCCTTTCCCCGCGCCTCGGCCGCCGCCTTTGTGCTTGTAGTTCTTCTTGTCCACAAAGTACTTCATGCCTTTGGAACAGACCACGATAATGAACTGGGACTCGTGGATCTTCTGGATGACCCATTCTCTCTGCCCTTCTCGGCAGAGGCTGAAGTCTTCCCACAGGTCCAGAGCCACCTGGAAAGAGAACAGGACTCACACTCACTTATACAGCCTGGAGTGTCTAGCAACGGGAATGTTGCAAGACGGGCACATCATCTCTTCCTTGAGCATTATTAGCAGCTCAAGGTTACCTGGCTCCGAGGAACAGGTAACGTTCCCTGGGTGAAGGTCACACCCCAGATCCTCTTCATCATGCTCATTTTAGCATAATGTGAGATCATTACCACTCCTGTACTATAAGTGAAAAGACAAAAGCACAGAGCTTCTAGCAACCTGCCTGTCACATACCAGTGTGAGATCCTCAAGGGACTTAGAGTATGGGTGAAGAGCATGGAAAATGGAGGCATTGGGGTTGGTCTATCTGACGAGTGAGGCTGCCTACATGGAAGACAGGTCCTGGAGAGAAAGCTGGAAGGCGATGATGGAGGGACCCCAAAGTGGGTTGAGAAATGGGGCTCAGGTCTGGATGCCAGAGTTGCCCATAATGCTCTATGACTCATGTCCAGAGAGTGTGACTGACAGAGGACCTCCCTAACCACTCTCAAAGCCATGCTGTTCACCCGTTGGTTGGTGGCTGAAGAGGAGGGTAGTGAACTGCAGTAACATGGCCATTCTGGCTAACTCATCTGGGAGTGACCCGCAATTTCCACCGTGACTTCACAGCAGTCTACACAGTCATATCCATAGAAGGTCTTTAAGCCCAAGGAGAATCTGGTAGGGAGTTTGGGGGCTGGGGAAGAAAATCAGTCCTCCTCAGAGGGCTTCACCTTCTCAGACCATTTTCATCTGATTCTGCTGAAATCATCTCTTGGCAATTATATCTTTCTCTTCCTTTCCTTGGTTCAGAAACTAATTCCCAATGGCTATGCCCGAACACAGCAGCCACAGACTGTTAAGGGGAAAAGGGATCTGAACTGACTTTGTCTTCTTATTCTGCTCAAAGAGAAGAAAACCCCCAACATCTATCCACTTGCTGAAAATAATCCTGAACTGTCTTACATTTGCCCTAATTCTTCCAAATGTTATAAATTCTAAAAAATAACAGGGATCATATACCAAGCATTTTTAAAATGTTCCTATCTTTTTTTTGTTTTGTTTTGTTTTTTTATCCTCACCTGAGGACATTCCTCCATCTTTTGTTCAGATAGAGCGGGAGGGAGAGAGAGGAAGGGAGAGAGAGAGAAACATCGATGTGAAGGGACATATCGAGTGGCAGCCACCCGCACGACCAACCAGGGCTGGGGACCAACTGCAACCGAGGTACATGCCCTTAGCGGGAAACGAACCCGGGTCTCTCTGTACCGCAGGCCGACGCTCCAACCGCTGAGCCAAACCGGCCAGGGCAAAAATGTTCCTATCTTTGATGGAGCAATTCCATTTCCAGGCATCTGTCTTTGGAAAATCATCAGAAATGAGGCAAAATTGAACTACTGAGATGTTTAACAATTTGAAATAACATTATAGATCATGTGGCTATTTGAAATATGAGTTTACATACAACTGCTAATTGTGTAAAAAGTTATTAAAGAAAAAGAAAAAATAATTCCAAGCCACCCAAAATGCAAAACTATATGTATGACTTCATATATGCAAGAAAAAAACTAGAAGGAAATACACCAAATATTAACCATGGGTCCTTTTTTCTCCAGGTTGAGATTACAGCCTTTTGTCATATTTTTCTAGTTTCCAATTTTTCTACAGTATGACACAAATAACTGGAGTTGTCTGTATGTGAAGACAGCATGTGGCACCAGCTAAAGTTTGCGGTTCCTTTTCACCATGTGTGTTGATGGGCCAACCTCTCCACCTTCCTACACAGCCTTGTAAATATGTTTTCTGACACTAGGGGGCAGCCTCACAACATGGAGAGGTTCTAAGAAACCCACTGGCAGGTACAAATAACCCAACTACATAATTGTACAATTCTTGCATTTTTAAGAAACAGTATGCCCTCCATGACAGCTTCAGACTTCACTCTAAAATTAACACTATAACATTACAGAAAAGCTACATATGAATAGCTTAACTCAAAAGAATAGGTAAAAAACCAGAGCAGACCATTTGAGTACTTGATGCGATATTTTCCCTTTTTAGCAAAGCTCCCCCCAAAACTGTCAAACCTGCTACTTTACTTACCACTCTCTCTTTGACCCTCTGATGCTCACCAGAATATGCTTCTAGGATATGCTGAGTGACCACTTCTCCCCACCCCCACTACAAGCTCCCAGGGTAGCTGCCATTTCCACCCATGCAACTTCCTGCCAGGTGGGTGCCAGTCAGGGCTTCTGAGCAGGAGTGTGTCAGAGACAGAACTGAGTAGTAGAAAACATTTAGTGCTCGTGGTGAGTAGAACAGACTGAAAGAAGAGTGCTGAGCCCAATTCAGAAGTCAGGCATTGCTAGAGGGCAGGTGCCACCAAAGCAGGCCTAGAGGCAGGGACAAGGTGGACAGGAGAGGGTGCAGAGCGTGTGCCCCACCAAAGTTAAGAGAATTTAAATTCCTTACCTCGCAGCCACAGAAGTCCTGGAGAAAGTAGGCAAAACACTGGACGACATTCATGTGATTCTGACCATCTTTACTGGAATAGCAGAGGAAGACCTTTGGCCGTGGCCGGAGCCTCTCTCTGGGGAGTGCTGTGGTGTAGGTGGAGGACTCAGAGCTCTCTTCATCTAAATGTGAATATATATTTTCTAAATAGGAAAAGAAGATAGGATTTATAGCTATGAGCAATGCTGTTCTCTAAGACGGGACCTAATGTTAGCTTCAAGAAACAAAAGATCACATGTCCACAGAGTACTCCCAATTCCCCAACTCCACCAGCCCTTTGGGTCACCACTGGGAATAGGGCGATTTGTCCGGTGGAGCTACAAATGGTCAAAATTTGTTCAGCTAAAATTAAACCTGAACAAGCCAAGAACACTCTAGGGACCACTTACTCAGCAGAGAGCACCCAGAACTAAACTCTTACAACCAAGGGCACCTACTGGAAATTAGCATTGACAGAGCACACCTTTTTTAAAAAGATACTTTTAAAAAATATATATGTTTTTATTGATTTTAGAGAGAGAGGAAGGGAGGACATAGAAACATCGATTGGCTGCCTCCTGCCTGCCCCCTACTGGGGATTGAACCTGCAACAGGGGCATGTGCCCTGACGGGGAATCAAACTGGCAATCTCTTGGTGCACTGGACTATGCTTAACCAACTGAGCCACACTGGCTGGGCTAAAAAGAGACTTTTTTATTGAGGTATAACTTACAAAGGTAAAATGCATAAATCTTAAGAGCACATCTCAAATTTTTATCTAAGTCTATGTAAGTATATACCTTAAGTATATACCTATGTAACCACCAACTCCCCAGAAGGTTCCCTCCTGACACCTGGCTTTTATAAGTGATCAATCTCTGCCTTTATCCTTTAGAGTTTCCTGATGCTCTTGAATTTACTATCCCAAGTTTGAGAACAGAAGTATGCCTATTCTTTTAGCTCCTGAGGTTAAAAGTCTGGCATTTTATTATTATTTTTTTTCTTTCTTTCTTTTGAGAGAGGAAGGGAGAGGGAGAGAGATATAGAAATATCGATGAGAGAGAACATTGATTGGCCACCTCCTGCATGCCCCCCAATGGGGATTTGGCCCACAACCTGGGCATGTGCCCTGATCTGGAATTGAACCAGTGACCTCTTATTGCATGGGTCAGTGCCCAAGCACTGAGCCACACCAGCCGGGCAAAGTCAAGAATTTTAATTATAGGAAGTACAGTAGCCAGGAAACTGAATACAGGTGTGTGGCTTCCAGTCCTGGCCTTTGGCGGGGACACACCACACACATACCTTGTTGCTTCTTGCGGCACATCACAGTGAAGAGTGTTGCAAATGCTGATATGACGACCAGCGGCACAGTGATGGCAACAGCTCTGATGGGCCCAGCCCATGGGGAGTGCACTGGGAAAGTTCAAAGGGGAAGGCTTTTAAACTTAAGCAGCATAACAGCTTCAAAGAGATTTTTTTGTTTCTTTTTCAGTATAAGCCACATAGCAGGTTCTAGGACCCCTTGACCACCTTTCTCTAGTACTGGTTTGGTAATTTAAAAAAAGATTCATTTTGAAGAAACAATTCAACAGTTAGTCTGCTAACTGTAAATACCTTTGAGTGAGAATTTTGCCTAAGGAAACCTTCCCCTCCCACCACCACTTTTCTTCTGAGGACAATTGACTATTTAGTTCCAGAAGACACACCACACTGGCTTTGATCTTCCAGGCATCCACATTAGGGGGGAGGAAAGTCGATTTGATGAAACATCCTTTAAGAGAGAGGATCTCAAGTTCTGTTGTGTTTTGTTTTTGTAAACCATTAGGTACAGATACATTGGTGTACTATAGTCCAAAGCCACCATTTCAAACAAAAAACTTCTTACCTGGCTTTAAGGCATAATGCATCACTTTTCTCGTTGTATTAGTGTCATCTACCAGCTGCAAAACAGAGGATGCTATATTAGTTGTTTAAGTGATAGGATCTCAACAGATTGTATTCTTTTGTCATCTGTGGGCTGTGTAGGGTAGAATGAAGAAGAAGGGGGTGAGAGAAAGGAGGGCTGCTGCCTTATGATCATTTATGAGCCGAAATTAGACATTAATGATCAGTTACATCTCTGCTTTACCATCTCAGAAGTTGTGATTTCTTCATGAATCAAAAGGTTATTTATTCATTGATTAAATCAGCTAGTGAGTTCCACGTTCTAACAATTTTCAATTGACATGGCATCTAACTACTAATCGTACTGGGCCTTCGTGAATGCTTTAAGAGCGTGTGCCTGTTCCAAACCACATATTGCTAAAGAGTAATGCAAGAAGTAGGTGTTTCTACCAAAATGTTAAGACATGTTGGTTGTCTTTGAATAGGAAGGCTATGGACAAATTTTTAATTTATCTTTCTGTTTTTCTTTTACTCCTGTTTTTATAGTATTTTTGATACTGGAAAGAAATCTACAAAAAGAGAAGAAAAAAATATATATCATTTACATGCTCTTTTAAGTGGAACTTAGAACTCATGTATATTCATACAGAACAATGTCAACAGGAACCTAGAAAAGTATAGGCAGATGTAATGGGCATCACTTTTTTTTTAATCCTCACCCAAGGATATTTTTTCCATTGATTTTTAGAGAAAGAAGAGAGAAACATTGATGTGAGAGAGACACATCGATTGGTTGCCTCCTGCATACATCCCAACCAGGGCCAGATATGTGCAACCCAGATATGTGCCCCTAACCGGAAATCGAACCCTCAACCCTTTGGTCTACAGGCCAGTGCTCTAACCACTGAACACACTGGCCAGGTGGGCATACTTTTGCTTTGCTGTTTTATTACTAAAACAGGACTTTTTAAAAGCTAAAGTTTTAAAAATATATTGTAAGGAAGAAGGAATACTCTATAGAAATGTAAAATCATGGTTATGTGGACTATATGGTTACATAAAAATATTTATTTGAAATATTTAATGAAAAAAATCAAAGATCAATTTCATATAAATTTTTAAAAGCATGTTAAGGACCATGTACAAATATAACTGCACACCTTCAATTTCTTGACATTTTAGTGTTGTAAACAGTTGGAATTCTAAATGAACTAGACTCATTCTGTAGATTAATAATAGGGCTTTCTTTAGTTATACATACCTCAATTATATAATCCCCTGGAGATACATTTTGAAGGAGGCAGCTGGTTGTCTCTGTATTTTGCTCCTGCAAAGAAACAATACTTTTCAAACTCACTTCTTGTATCAAGGTCATCAGGATCCCTCTCTTCCCCCAGAACTGAAGATTTTCTACCAGTCTCAAACATATTTTCAAGAGAACATCAGTCAAATCAGAAAGCAACTGAGCTTATCTGCCACATTTTCTAAACCTAACTTATAATAGATCTAGGAGAATTCAGCATGGCTGTCATATTGTACACTTAGCTTGTGGCGCCCTCAGCAGGAATATTTTATTTTAAAACAAAGAAACTATGTAGTTAGAATACCCTTTACTTAATAAAAGGGTTAGGAAAGGAACTATCCACCTGTGTATGTTTATTTTATTTGCTATAATTTTAACTTGAGCAGAAGGTCAAAGGAGGTGAGAGCCAGCAGGAAAGAAAAACTGAACACACATAGGAGAATGCCCAGGAAGACGTTGGGGTTTTTCATCACCACTAAAAGCCTCTCTTGGTGTTCCCAGGGGGTGATCTAGCAGACCTGTGAACTTCCATAAAACATTTCCCACTCCCTCTGACCACCTCCAGTTTAAGAACTTGGTTACTGAGTTCCTACTAACCTTGGGCCTATATGTACAATCAGTAGTTATGGAAATGCTAGTGACGTGGCTCCTACACGTAGTTTTTCTTCTTACTAGCTGTGTGACCTTGAGCTAGCCAGGTGACCTCCCTGAGCCTCAGGTTCCCCATCTGAACGTGGGAACGATGGAAGCCTCTGTTTCATAGGGCTGTAAGGATTCAATGAGCATAAAGCTTGTGCCTGCCACACAGTGAGCATCTGATTGTTTGAAATATAGAAGAACAAACTCAAAATACTTAATTATTCTGGTTCCTTGGTAATATTTTTACCAGACTACACCACCACCAGGATAGCCGGGATGTAGATAACTGGGGAGGGCTGACGGCAAGATGGTCTGAGACATCTTGGGTAGTGATAATATCCTGGAATGTCTACTGACCACTGAGAGTCAACAATGCCTAATGCTCACCCTGAATCATCCAAATTCCAGGGGCTCGGAGGTCACTTTAAAACATGTAGTGTTGCTTTATGCACATCTAGCAGCTCACCTGTTTACAGGTCTTTCGTTTGAAGGGTCCCTCATGCTTGAGCTTGTAATGAAGATAGAAGAAACGGAAGCCAAAGGTGTGTGGTGCGTGGTCGAAGGACACCTGCATATCCAAACCGTGCTGGGTGATATTCAGGTTCCGAGGCTTCCAGACTGGGGGGAGAAAGGACCCAGAGTGAGCACCCCAAGGCCACCTGACACCACTGGGGTGGCAACACTTTGGGATAAGAGCAGCTATACTTACAGGGTTTGCAAGCCAGGTTGTCCGGCTGTAACAGCAGGTCACAGGCTATTAAGAAAGATGCATATTTTTAGTTATAGGACAGTTTGACATTTTTCTTGTCCAACAATTCAATAAAATATAAATATCTGGCACTGGGTGCTGCTGGGTAGAGTATTAAATACATCAATTCAGCAATAATTTTCAGTACAGTACAGTGGTATCTTATGAAAACTTAAAGTCTACAATATAAAAATATTAATGCAGTTCACTTTATGCCAAATAAATTAAAACAGTACAAAGTCACCCAGATTTTAAAAGCTGTCAAGCATTACGCAGTTTCAAGGCCAGCGGCCAAAGGCAGCAGGACGTGTTCATGCTACCGCCACAGGGAGGCTGTTTCAGCTGTAAACAGAAATGATGCTGGCCTGACCCACTGCCAACATCACTTAGGTACAGGAGATCGAAGTGCTCCTGTTAACTGCTCAAGGCTATTTTAACCTTCGCTAGCATCTAATTTAAAGTCCTTTTGATGGAGTCTAAAAATGACTTCAGGCATGTACTAAAGAGTAGCATCAGTGCTGAAAACAGGCACCATAGCCAGTAGCTTTGAAACATGATTTCAATGCGGTAAACGCACAGTGAGAGAGGCCAAACAGCTAGTTCATATGCCATGTTGCTAACCCAGGGAGAACCCTCTGGAAAATGTCCATACAGTTCCATGGAAACCAAGGGCAGCCTCAAGGTCACTGCACTGAAATAGTGATAAACACATTTCCTGCCTCCACCTCACACCCAGATAGACACACTGACTGATTTCAGTAGGAAAAAACAATCTTAAATATGCTAGGTTTGATTTCATGAACACATGCTTTGAATCCTCTGTCTGGCTGTTATGTGTAAGGCATCAAGAAATATTGTTAGCCCGGCCGGTGTGGCTCAGTGGTTGAGCGTCGTCCCATGCACCAGGAGGTTGCAGGTTCGACTCCCAGTCAGGGCACATGCCCAGATTGTGAGCTCAATCCCTGGTAAGGGGATATGTAGGAGGCAGCCAGTCAATGTATTGCTCTCACATTGATGTTTCTGTCTCTCTCTCTCCCTCTCCCTTCCTCTCTCTGAAATCAATAAAAACATATTTTTCTTAAAAAAAAGAAATATTGTTAGGTGCTAATGGTCTTTTCCCCCCCATGGAATCTTATTTAATTAAGAAAATGAGACCAATTGTTATAAAATAACTTTGCTGCATAGAAAATTAATAGTTTTTTTTTTTAATAAGAAGGAAGGAAGGAAGGAAGATAGATGGATAAACAAATAAGTAGGAAGAATAATACATTTATAGGAAGAGGTGATCTCAGTCAGGAATACTGCTTAATTTTCTTAATCTAATCCTGATAATGACTGGCAATCATTCACTGAGGCCACCCTCCTGAGGACAAATAAAAGATGGAATCATTTCATGCTTTACCCTAAAAATCAACTTATATTTCTTATTCCTATTTTTTCAATCAAAAAAAATTTTTTAATCCTCATCCAAGGACACCCCTGCATTTATCTTCAGGTAGAGCAGGAGGGAGAGAGGGGAGAAGAAAGAGAGAGAGAGAGAGAGAAACATCGATGTGAGAGGGACACATCGAGTGGTTGCCACCCACATGACCCCAACCAGGGCTGGGGACAAACTGCAACCGAGGTATGTGCCCTGAGAGGGAACCAAACCCAGGTCTCTCTGGTCCACAGGCCGACGCTCTAACTGCTGAGCCAAACCAGCCAGGGCTCAATCACATGGTTTTAATACATGACTAACAGCATCCTGGGCCAAATCTTAATGCTAAAAGTTACTTTTCTGGATGCTTTCCTCTACACAATGCTTATTTCATACCAGTATATGGTGGGCTCTTGAACACGTATCTGTTGAAAATTAAAAGCATAATTCTCACATGGGAACCAGGCAGAAAAGGCCATACTCACCCCGGGTTCTGAAAAAGAAAGGGTGATAATTGCTTTCATTTTTAATGGAAGGAAAAGGGACAATCTTTACAAAGTAATCCGTCTCAAACTTCATATTCAGGAAAGGCTGAGATTCCATTCCCTAAAAGGGAACAAAAACACATGTGACGTCATGGAGAAATTACCCACCCCTCCACCTACTCAAGAGAGCTTCAGTCCTCCCCGACTGTCACCTAGACACAGTTCCAGAGCTGAAGGACATGTCCCAGGGAAGGAGGAAGTCAGATCTGTTTTCTGGATCAAGCTTAGGTTTGAATCCTTCACAGAAAATGAAGATCAACAATGCCGTCTATTCTTTGGCAAGGAAGCCAGAGTTTGTTAACACTGAACTTCGAAGTCGGTGGGGAGGAGCCCACATCCACTCCGGAGAGCACAAAGCCACCTTCCAGGATGGCTGCTCCAGCGCGTAACCGGAGAGGTGTGTTTACCAGCGAGAGGTGCTGGAGGATTTCTCAGGGAGTGTAGGGCAGGCTGGCAGTGTTGTCCACCATTCTCGCCCACCTTGGCAGGTGGGGTGGACCCCACAGCCCCTCCTTCTCCAGTTTCACAGACTTTGAATAGACCATTCAGACCCCCGAACAATGGCATGTCTTCAGGAGCACATTCCCCAAGTGTGACTTACAGTTCTTTTGAAGCTACTGTTGAGCTGCTTCGGATCCTTTAGAATCAGTTGTTGGCACTGTGTCCCCTCTGACTTCAGCTCCTCCAGTATTACCCGAAACCCTTTTAGGAATTCAATGCCTAAGCAAAGCAGAATGCTTTCATTAAAAGTGGACCTAATTACTTTTGACCACACTTTCCTTCCTCCCAGATTATCGTCCTCTGCACCTACACAGCAGTTCAAGGAATTCTTACTCTGGCCAGAATATCAGAATTTAAAGAAAGGAAAAGCACATACTCTGCATTCCTCTGGTACAGGCCAGGTGCTTTTCTCTGTCACAGCATTACTAATTAATTAATATCTAATCCCGCCAGCCATTTCAAAAATGGCCACTGCTTCTGTGACATTAGGGTTCAAGTATTTAGACTCAAGTCACAATTGATCATAAAAAGTCTGCAGTAGAATACATAATTTCTAGGTCATTAAACAGGGTGTATTTGACTGATAAATGCCCACGCTGACTAGGACTCACACCAAACCATGTTTCTACTTTAAGTTTTAGTCCTATATTTCATGTTTCAATGAGCATGTTTCAATGAGCAATGTGCAAAATTCCCAACAAAATGTGTGTCTGCACCCAAGGAGTTCCTAGGCTTGAGATTAAATAGCTTAGGAGAATGCCTATGTGATTTACAAAGCGGTTCTTGCTCTAATCACGCCTGAAAGGCAGACACCCAGGAGCGCTCAGTGTGTGCTCTTCACACAGCACTCAGAGGCCCCGACGCCCACAGTGCTGCTGAAAGGCACCGGCCCAGCCTCCCACCACCTGAGCTTCCCCCTCTGCACGTCGGACTAGATGCTTTCAAAAGGATTAAGCTCTGATGTCCACAAGAGCCAGCACCGAGGCTCTGTATCCCATGGAGACTGGAGTGGTCCAACTGCAGCTGGAGATCCCCCAAGCCGGCCTCAATTGGCACAATATCGATTTCGCATTCTTTCTGAACACTAGACAAGGAGACGTTTTCAATCCTTCCCCTCCCAGGGCCAAAGTAATTACACAGGATGCAATTAACCAGGTGGGAAATTAAGGATGGCAAAGGCCAGGGAAATCTTTCTCTCTTTTGAATAGGTTCTCCAATCCTGTAACTATATGATAAAGAACACATATTTTATGGTGGGCAGGGCAAGAGCTACAAGTAAAGCTTCGTATTTTAGGGGGGCTGCATAGAACATGTGCAGGTGGAGACTCTTATATTTCAAGTACAAAGTTTCCTGTGGGGGTGACAGCTAGCTGACCAACAGCCCGAGATTCGAACATGCTGACAAGATCCAGCAACTATTTAGTGGATCTCACAGAACTCATCTTCTGAGATTCCTCCTCCCCTAAAATTTTTTTAACAAATTCGTGTAATTTATACTAAGATTTAATTCATGCAATGCCCCCAGAACTACTGTTTTAACACAAGCCAGGTGTTAAAGACTGCACATCTCACAATTACATAAAAATTCATCAGCTGGGCCAGTGTGGCTCAGTTGGTAGGATGCTGTCCCATGCACCGAAAGACTGCTGGTTCAATTCCTGGTCAGGGCACATGTTGGGGTTGGAGGCTAGATCCCCGGTGCAGGGTGTGCATAAGGCAGACCATCCATGTTTGGCTCTCACATCAATGTTTCCTTCTCTCTCTTCCCCCTCCCTTCTTCTCTCTCTAAAAAATCAATTTTAAAAATCTTTTTTTAAAAAAGACCAAAAAATTCATCAGCTGGGTGGGAGTGGGTAGTTCTAGTCATTATTATTATTATTGTTTTTATTTATTTTAGAGAAAGGTAAAGGAAGAAGGGGGGGGGCATCAATTCAAGAGAGAAATATCCATTGGCTGTCTCCTGTACATGCTCCAACTGGAGATTGAACCTGAAACTTAGGTATGTGCCCTGACAGGGAATCGAACCCTCACTCAATCCTCTGGTGTACAGGACAATGCTCCAACCACTGAGCACGGGGCCAGGGCTCTATAGTCCTTATTTTTAAAAGACCTGCCAAGACTGGTGCAGCCACTGTGGAAAACACTATGGTGTTACCTCAAAGAGTTAAAAATTGAACTTCCATTTGACCCAGTCATCCCACTTCTAGAAATATACCCTAAGAAGCCTAAAACACCAATCAGAAAGAATATATGTACCCCCATGTTCATAGCAGCACTATTTACAATAGCTAAGATCTGGAAACAGCCCAAGTGTCCATCAGTAGATGAATGGATAAAAAAGCTGTGCTACATGTACACAATGGAGTACTATGCAGCTGTAAGAAAGAAAGATCTCTTATCCTTTGAGATGACATGGAAAAACCTGGAGAGTATTATGCTAAGTGGAACAAGCCAAGCAGAAAAAGACAAATACCACATGATCTCACTTATTTGTAGAATATAATGAACTAAACAAACTGATGAACAAAACTGACCCAGAGACATAGAGGTGGGGTACAGACTGACAAGCCTTAAAGGATGGGGTGTTGGGGTGGGGAGATAAACTACAGAACTTATATACATGTATGCATGACCAATGGACATAGACAATAAAGCTGGGGATGTGGAAGGGGGGATGGAGAGGAAGGTGTCAATGGGGGAAAAGGGGAAACATCTGTAACAAAAACAATAAAAAAATAATTTAAAAAATAAAATAAAAGACCTGCCAAGTATGGGAGTGGGAGGGAGAGACAGCAAATGAAAATCTTAAATCACAGTGACATCTTTATCACAATACTATTAGTACCTTGTCTTTACACAATGTTTAGCAATTTTATAGGGAGCTTCTCATAAAGGAATCTATTTACTCCTTCCCATCACTTAAGCCATTAAATCCTCCTAAAAACAACAGAAAGGAGGTATTATTATCCCCGTATTATCGATGAAGAAACTGAGGTGTAGAGACACTAACTGACTTGCCCAGGGTCACACAGGAATTAATGGCAGAGGTGGGGTCCAAACCCAGAATGCTCTGAACTCATACTCTTTTCTGGCTTCCAAGGAGCTTCCTTGCCAGAACCTTGCAAAACTGAAAGAACCTGTTCAGCCGGCCCCACGCCCCCGTCCCAGCCAAATCATCCCGCAGGGAAAGCACATCCTCTGCCTCGCTGTTCCACATGATGGTTTTCCTACCAGCAGCTCACTTCTCTTACTTTCATTCTACAGAGGGAGCCTGCGATTCATCAGGCCAACCCCTTAGCCATTTAGCCTTACATGGGATGACTACTTCCCTTTTATCCACAGAGAATGTTTGTATCTGTAAATGTTAAGATAATGTTACTTTTGGAAACCCGTTGGGTTCAGACCCAGCAGTATTTACATGGGTGAGTGAGTCAGGCCCCTGGGTCCGATTCATCCTCCCCCTCTCTGCACTCACCTCTCCTGCGATCTGGTTCTTCTGAGATGGAGCCCGTTCAGATTTTTAAACTCAAACTTTATTTTAGTTTTCCCTTGGCCAGGCTTTTGTGTTTTTGTTTTTTTTAATTCTTAGATTGGGTGGCAATGTCAAAGGAGCAGGTTCTGATGATCATAACAGCCACAGAACTCTCTCTAAAAAGGTGCCATGTGTGTTTCTAATTCTTATAACAAACCAAGCAGCAGTCATCTGCACTTGACAGAGGGGGAAGTGAGGTCTGAAGGCCTCTGGTGATTCTGGGTTCAAACACAGGCCCATTTGAAGAAATGGGCCCTCCCCATGTCCCACTCAACCATGCCATCCTCTCCTGTGTATCATCAAGTCACTCAAGAGGACAAGCAGACACGCTCCTAACCTGAATCTGCCCAGATAATGTGGTTTGCTTTTTTCTGTTCCTTTGTTTTAGTTTGGTTTCTCCAGCCCACACAGTTTAAATAAAAGTTCTGTTAGTCACCAACATTAAAAATTATTGATTTCATGGTTTCTCATGAAAACTGGAATTTTCCTGAAAACTCACCAAACGTGCCAGTGCTGGGCCTACACATCTCTGCGTGGCTAGAGACCGTTAATGCTGGATGCCAAAACCTTTGCCTCCTTGGCTGGGCCACCCATCCTTCCACGATGGCTGAGACACAGAGGCCAAGCAAGGCCTGTGCCATTTATCACTCATACACCAGTTTGTTTCAAACCCACATTTCTCTCAATAACAGCCAAGGGACCAAAAGAGGAGCTACAGGGCACAGCATGAAGCCGTGAACATGTCCAGCACATGTATGCATAAACACAGGAGGTGTGTCTGTACCCAAGCCAACCAAAGCTACTCTCATGTCAAGACCCGCCTAGCCCCTGGAGGCCATCAGGTTTGCAACCCTTGCAGTGGGCACTACCCTCCCGGACCACCACGGTGGACTCCATTTTGACCACTTACCAAGGACCCCTGGGGACCAAAGAATGGTGACTGCCACTTGATCGTGGCAAGCATACTGACTGATGGTGATGTTCTGGGCATCAGCAATCACATGCTTCCCCACCAGGTTCAAGTACGTGGTACAATCTAGAGAGTTGGGAGAACAAGAACAGTCACATTTAAAATGTTATTTTTTATTTCCAAGTTCATCTTCTCAAATTACACAGAACATGTCTGCAGGTGGCCAAATCCGTTCTGTGTGCCTCAAAAGCCCAAATACAACATCAAAAGTTGACTGGAAAACTTTTAAGATGCTGCAGTGGAATCTATTTATAGCACCACTACCACCACCACCACCACCACCCCCAGAGTTAAGTTCCAGGACAGTGTTAGAAGGAGCTTATATGGCCTGGAGTTTGTGTGTGTATGTGGCATGAACTTTTTTACTATTATGACATTTTACCCAAATAAATAATTATTTACTTCAATTCAATCAGTTTTCAGCAGTAGATGGTGATTTGAAACAAAACAATGACTAAATAATCTGGGTCTATTTGTTTTCAGAAGAAACCTAGAGGGCAAGTTATCTGGGGAAAAGGAAGCAAACCGAGGATGTCAACTCAGGGGAGAGAGAAGACTGTTAAACAATCCAGTTAGAAGCTCCAAAATATACTGACTTAGTGATAAGCAAAGCACCTTCGAAGGTTAACGAGCATTGGCAAAGGTAAAGCTTTTGTTCCCACATACCATGTGTCATCAAAGACACCCTCCACCCCCACCAAATCCTGAGTCCACACTGCTGAAAATTTAAAAATCTGATCCTCTGATTTTTTTCTGAGGACATCGTGCATTGCCACCCGTCATGCAGCCATGGCCATGGGAACAGCTGTGCCACCTGGCTTTGCTAAATACACCTTCAAAGTCTGCAAGATCCTGAAAAGATGCCAGAAACATCCAACCAGACTGGGGCCGGGATTTCTGAGAATGGCAGCAGGCCCTTCGGCCACTCGTGCAGGGAGAACCAGCAGCCATCCCTGGCAGACACCAACTCATAATTCTTACACTGCTTCTTTCTCGATGATTAAACTTGAACACCCTCTTTAGCATCTGCTGCAAAAGGTCTTCAATTCCATCAACCCACCCGCTACCCCTCTGAGGTCAGAGTGTTTCCTTTGAGGTGAAGCATTCAGAGGTGTTTTCTAAGAAGCTTGCGGAGTCTGCTGAATTCTCCCTCTCGCCCTCCCAAACTGTACCACATAATCGTCATTTTTAGGACTAAAAATGTTCATTGAATATTTTTAAATTAAAAGAGAATATTAGAAAAATGTAAAAGTCACCCAGAAGCTCCCACCACACAGAGGTAACTGTTAACATCTAATGGACAGCCTCCCAAGCCTTCTAACGTGCATGTAATCTTCCTCCTTCCAACATTTCTCATTAAGTACAGCACCTAACCCTGAAACGCAGTGCTCAGTTTCACAACTCCACCCCCCACTGCTTCGTGTCCTGCTTTCTGGCCTGACCATGCTAACATTAGATGTTCTCTCATCTGCTTCAAAAACAGTCAACCCTCTGTTTCAATATTTCTTCTTCTGAAAAGATGTCCCTATTTAAGAAAACTGAATTCTCCTTCTGATGAAAATTCACTCTCAAAGCATTCAACATGTGCTCTCTGGGTGCAGGAGAGAATTTTAGAGTAGTATAAAAACAAGTTAAACATCTGGTTCAATATCTGGTACAAACGAGGGACCTGCACCAAGAGAGATCAGCTGGGTGGCTCAGGGGTCCACACCAGCCAGCCCAGGTCGGGACAGAAAGCAGCCACAGATGCTCCTCAGGGTTTTGCCATTCCACCCTCAGCACAGAGCTTATTACTCAGATGAGTTCGGAATCAGAAGTATTCAGTCCACAAAAATCCTGGCTGAGCCCACCTTCCCAATATAAAATACGACAAGATCTCATCACACTTGCAAAGTTCAAACATTTTCATTTACTGAGAGCTATAATTAAAGAGAAACCTTTGACTTCAACAGCTTTAGGAAAAGATGTGTGAACAAGAGAAAATCATGTTTTTTTCTTTGTTCATCCATACTGCCAAAATCAGTGCTCTCCGGCTTCCTGTAAATACAATTATGCAAATAAAAAGTCTGAGAATTAAGAAAATGTATTACAGCCCTGGCCGGTTTGGCTCAGCGGTTAGAGCACCAGACTACGGTCTGGAGAGACCCGGGTTCGGTTCCCACTAACGGCAGGTACCTCAGTTGCAGTTTGTCCCCGCCCCTGGTTGGTCCTGCAGTTGGCAACCACTCGATGTGTCCCTTTCACGTTGATGTTTTTCTCTCTCTCTCCCTCCCTCCCACTCTATCTGAACAAAATATCGGGGAGGGGAGGGGAGGGGAGGGGAGGGGAGGGGAGGGGAGGGGAGGGGAGGGGAGGGGAGGGGAGGGGAGGGGAGGGGAGGGGAGGGGAGACATCACAACCTACTCAAGCATCACCCCCTTAGAACCTGAAGAAACGAGAAATGCAATGTGAATGGAGGCAAGGAGACCTGTGAAATTGGTTTTGACTCAATGACAAGGTATTTTCTTTCTTTATGACATTAAATGACAACGGAATAGAAAAATAAGATTTTGTTCTTTAATACTTTTGGTGAAAACTTGGCAATTGGTTCTTAGCTGTTTCAAACAGAACTAGTAACTAGTCAACTAAGCAGAACTTTCTTATAGAAGAGAGAAATATCTTTCTCAATGGAAAACAATTAATGTACTTTACACAGCCTAGATCAAATTATTAACAACGCTAATGTTTTGGATTTTGGCTACCAAAAATATTTTGCCCAAATGACATTTTGCCAAAATGCAACCGAACTTTAAATGTCTCAGGAATCAATTCGAGTTGTAAATTGAATTCTAATTAAATGCTGAAAAATTATAAAGAAAATAATGACTAAGAGACAAGTGTTGACACATGGGCCAAATATCTAGTCCCATGAAGAAAGCAGTGAGCTACTTTTACATGTCACAGGTGCAGATCCTCTTTCACAAATCCTCACATTACATTAGAGATGCAAATAGTTGTTTGCAGCTGACCAGAAAAATTTGAACTCTTGAATATAATACAAGATCTGCCAGGACCAAGAACATATATTAGAAATTAACTTTCTAACTCAAAGAAAGATCCCTTACACATGTCTTTACTTACCTGAATTAAGTATCACAGACTTGCAAATCCTTCATTAGAATCACAGCATTTACTAAGAACATGCACAGCCCACTAACATGGAATGACTACTTCATCTATCCGTAAGTCCTCACTGGTTAACTTAAAGAACCACATCGGCAACTGTGGGCATGAATTTGACATACATACTTGTATCTAAAAGCTGTTTGTATGCATCACCTGGAAAGCCCTGCTTTAGTAGTGATCATTCCAGAGGCCGCATGTGACCTACTTATTACATGGATTCATAACCCTCTCTCCAAGAGATGAGTCAAATGTCAGGGGTCACTAAATATGAGTTAAACTCCTTCTTTTCATTTTTACTTGTAAATTATGGCTCACAAGGCTAAAATGCTCACAATTCTATATAATTACCTTCTTGGGCATGAAAGCCCAAGAGGGGGTTGTATATGCTTAATCAGAAAAGGTCAAAAAGGTGCTTGTATTCCAACTCCAGTTAGAATAACTCCTAATATTAATAGATAAATAATTACTGAGTGCAGGCCAGCTACAAGGTGAGCAATTATAAGCATTACTTTGTTTAAGCCTCAAAATGATGCTGACTGGTTTTGCTTACTTTTGTACTTTACATGCATTAAACTACTACCCTCACATGCCAAAAAAAAAAAAAGAAGATGCTGAGGAAGAAATTAATCTTTGTTTCAGAATGAGAAAATTAAGGCTTGGAGAAGCCCACTCATCTGCCACAGTTCTCAGCTGATAAGTGGGGGGGCTGGAACCCAGGCCTAAGTCACAGACAGCCGACCGAAGGTCCCTGGGCCAGGCTGGAACACAGATGCACTTGGCCCACTCTATGTTTCTGAAAAAGTTTAAATAAATGCCAGTATTAAAATATGTTCAGCCCTGGCCAGTTTGGCTCAGCAGTTAGAGTGTCGGCCTGCAGTCCGGAGAGACCCGGGTTCGGTTCCCACTATGGGCACATACCTTGGTTGCAGTTTGTCCCCGGCCCTGGTTGGGTCGTGTGGGTGGCAACCACTCGATGTGTCCCTTTCACGTCGATGCTTCTCTCTCTCTCTCTCTCTCTCTCTCCCTCCCATTCTATCTGAACAAAATATTGAAAAATGTCCTCGGGTGAGGATAAAAAATATATATATATATATATATATTCATACAAAAAAATGCAGATCTCCCACTCTTCTTGGAACTCCCTTCTGGGTCTACCCGGGGGGGTTCCTCAAGGCCATGAGCAGCGGGAAAGGAGGAGCAGGGCTCCTTTCCGACAGGACACAGCTCTCCAGCTGCCACCGTCCCTACCACTCCCTAGCGTCCTGCACTTGGGTCGGTTTGCTCACGTGTCCCCTGCTGGGCCCTACAGACAGCTGCACTTGCTCTTAGGATATGGCTATGTCCTGAGGAAATCAGAGGTGGTCTCCATACACAGCTTCTCTAAACACTACATGGGACACTTGACCTGTCCCAAATTCTCAAGTGGCTTAATTGAGACTGAGCCGCTTTAGCTCTGTTGACAAACATGAGCAGGTTCAGAAAATTCCTCAAGCCCAGGACCCGCAGAGTCCCTGATTAAGCAGGACTGTGTAAGCTTTAGATCACTCACAGGCTCCATGCTTCAGAGGTCAAGCCAGTTACTTACTGTCATATCTGAAGGTGATGTTGTGCAGCCCACTGTTCCTGCTGGCCGGCCCCACTCCCTGTGGGAAGACAAGAAAGCATGATGGGGAGTGAAGCCAATTTGTTTTCCCAACACAGATCCCCATGGAGTCAAAATGCATGACTGCAGAGACCCAGGTCCTGCTAGTCACTGAGCACTGTGCCCCTCTGGCTGCCAAACTCCCTCCAGCCCGCGAGATTCCTAACTGGCAGGCCACGGGGATCATGAGCACTCACTTCCCCTAAGACAATAGGAGCAGGCTGTTCTCTCTTTGGGGCTTAAATAATAATTCATTAACAGTAAAACTGGGAGAGGGACAGGAGTTGCCAGCTGGAGTCCTACCAGCTGGATCCTCTTTGAGCACTGATTGGTTATGAATTCGCCTACCAGACACTCTCGTCCAAAAGCTCTATTAGCCACGACAGATAGGCAATTCCTCAAGTCTACGGAAACAGGTTTCTCATTCCAAGACCAGAAATGAGTGTGGGAACAAGCTGTTACTTTTAATGAGAAAATTCTTCACTGCATCCATACCTTTCCTTGGAATATATAGGGTGGGTCATAAAAGAAAAAGAAAAAAGACTTTAAAAGGTCTAACTCTAACTCTTGGTGATGTGGCTGTTAGCCATCTGCATTCTTAACAGCAGGGATAACAGCTCCACCAGACTTCCCACTTTAATTACAGCATCTGCAGAGGGAGCTCCAGAATCTTCCCATTGGCCCGCCTTTTCCCAACCCATCACTTATCCATCATGGGAAAGAGTAGCTACAGATCTACTGACTCTGGCTTAACTGTTTCTGTAATAATCTGCAAATGTGCCACTCAGCATTAACTGCAGAATTATCCAAAATATGTTAATTCTGAAATGCTAAATGATGGAAAAATATTCTAACCACACAGCTGAAGTTTCCACTTAACAAGGGGGATGTTGGGTAAAAACATATGCCGGCAGCCTGGTATTTAATGAGCAATTGTTACACCAAGACACAAAGTGCAGAACACACTTCTGATGGAGCCCAGGGTCTCAGACCACAACCCCAGCACATCCAGATGCTACAGGCATGCTCATACTGCTTACCCTGAAGCCAGGCACGCCCGCTGAAACTGTATCCCTGAGCTCAGATAAACGCAGACCTTGGGAAAGCACAGCTGTACCGAAAGGAACAGACAGGGACACACACACACACACACACACACACACACACACACACACCATTCTAATTAAAATGAGGAGTAAGTTGTAACAGAAAATTTAAATCAACAGCATACCAGCCCATGAGCTCCTGGGGCTCCCCTTCTTCCTGGTCACCCGCCCTCTCCAGCTTTCCTCATCCGTCCTCCTTTCCCCTGCACACTCAAGTCCAGACTTCTCACCTGAACTGAAACACTTTGGAAAGTGTGGTTACCTTATCAAAAGCCTAAACTCTGCCATAACTGCTTGGAGACGAGGCCAGTCTGTTCAACTAGAGGATGCCCAACTTCCAGGTGACCAAGACCAGAGCAACCAAACCAGGCAGGAGACCACGAGACAACGCCATCCCCACAACCCTCCAGTAATGTCCAGGAACTCAAACCACACCCTTCTCTCTTACAAATCCCAAGGACATAAATTCACTCACCATCTTAGGAGCTGGGGATGTGCTAGGGATGGTGGTAAGCAAAGCAGCCACTGTCCCTGCCTTAGGAGCGAAGGAGCTCATTCTTCCAAAGAAGAGTAAGTAGGTACGTAGATCACATGCAGGGCACACAGACACATCTCAAATCATGCCTGGCCCTCCAAGAACTCTCAGTGTGATGGCATACCAGATATAGGTAGAGGGGAAAGAGCCAGCCATAAATTAGCAAACAGTGTATGGAATGCCCCAGGCAGCGCCCCACTAAGGGAGAACCAAGGATAGGGAAGACCCATACCAGAAGCTTAGCAGAGGGAAGGATAACTAAGTTAGAATGGAGAGAAAAGGGGAGCATTACAGGAAGGAACAGAAATGCAATCTAGAGGCAGAGGTAAGTACCCTTAATCCTTCCATTCTCCAGCTGATACCAAATGGGTCCACGTCTCCTCAACTGTTTTTTTTACAAAGATAGTTGCATGACTTCCCCCTGGGAAGGGGTATAAGGAGGACCTTGTGAAGCCATGCAGAAGAAGCACTTTTCAAAAGGGAAATGCATTCTGTTTAACAGCCTGCTCCAAGGTACCTGGGACTCTGGTGACCAATCAATCACCTTACTTGTAGGACTTCATCAGCTTTTCATTTTTTTCTTGACCTCAACATGTTTTTAACAGATCGTTATTAGGCACTTGCAATGAATAATGCATTGTGGATAGGAGCCCAAAACAGTGAGATGTGCTGTATTGTTCATACAAGAACCTAAATCCCTCCAAGTAAGATCTCTGTGGTGTGTGTGGAACTGTTCCAAATGAACTAGCCTCCAAGGATGTTGAAGCTTGCATATGGCACCCATTCACTACCCACTGAGCATTCCACCTTGACCCTGATGGGCCCTGAACCAGATCTGGGTCCTGACCTCAAGGGACTTTGGCCACCAAGGTGATATTCTAATGTGCAAATCTCCCCTCATTCCTTTGCTCCAAGCCCACCAAGGATTCTTGTGCCTCCTAAAGCATCCCTGAGGTGGCACTCCTTTCTACCTTCTTCCAAAAGCCCTCTGGGTACTGCACTACAGCATAGCATGTTCTCAAGCACTTCCATATTCCCAGAATGCCCTTCATAGCACCTGAATCCTGCTCCCCTGTGGACTTCCCACCTTAGTCTAGCCCCTATCACACTGTGTCCCTGATACATCGGTCTGCCTGCAGACTCACTTGATGGAGCACAGTTTTCACTAGCATGGCACATCTTCCAATGTAGATATAAAATGGTCATTCTAATTCCACAGTAAGTCAGATACCAAAAGACCCTGTGACCATCCAAACCTGGTCATGAAGCTTGGAAGCAAGAGATACCATCGCAAGTACCAGCTCTTGAATGCACAGTGAAGACCTTCCACTCTTGGAAGTCACAGAGAGCATGGCTTCTCGGTATATGCATCAGACAGGTGGTCTGCCGGGCTGTCCTCATAATGCTTGCACTGCTCCAGAGCCCGCAGAGACCTGAGAAATGATATGCCCAGGCTAGCCCACAGAGCACTACTGCTTTCTGTACGCTTCGTGGTAGACAGAATAACAGCACTGTCTAACATGCCCATATCACAATCCCCAGAACATGTAAATGTTACTTTCCATAGCAAACAGAACTATGCATATGTTACTAATTTTAAGGATCCTGGGTTGAGGAGATTAGCCTGGATTATCCAGGTGGGCTCAAGGTAATCACAACAGTCCTTATAAAAGGGAGACAGGACAGTGAGAGTTAGAAGGAGAAGATGTGATCATGGAAGCAGAAGGCAGAGACAGGCAGACATCGATTCAAAGATGCTATGCTACTGCTTTTGAAGATGGAGAAAGAAGGGGCCAGTAAACCAAGGAATGCAGGCACCTCTAGATGCTGGAAAAGGCAAGAAATGGATTCTCCCCAGAGCCTCCAGAAGCAGCCAGCCCTGCCAACACCTTGATTTCACCCCCATATTACTCACTTTGGAATTCTGACTTCAAAAACTCTAAGATAATAAATTTGTGATGTTTAAGCCACTAAATTTGTGGTAATTTATTACAGCAGCAATTGAAAACTAATACACACATATAATTTCTGCTGCAATATAAATGAAATAATTTCTGCTGCAATATGGATGTCACACATGCCATGTGTTGTCATTCTCTCCCTCCCACACACACCCACAGCAAACCAATCACTTGTCACTGCGCTCTCTCCCACCCCGGCTGCAGGCAGACACAGAACACTCGTCTATCAGAGCTGCTGCTTGAGATTTTGCCCCCCTAGATAGAGGCTTCTATGGGCCAGCCTGGGGCTTGTCTGGGGAGAAGAGTGGTTAATAGAATGAGCTTTGGGAGTTGCACAGATGTGTGTTCAAATCTGTGCAACTTTGCAGCTGTGTGACCTTGGGCAAGCTTCTAAACCTTCCTGAGCCTCATTTCCCTGAGCTATATATAAAGTGTTTGGAATATAACTTCCTGGAAAGGGTTGGTAGGGGGCTGTGAGTGATGACACATATCCAGTGCTCTGCACAGCATCTGACATATTGAAATGGTTATTTCACCATTCCTGAGAAGATCCTGCCCTAATAAACAACATGAAAGTATCCCCTACAAGGAGATGATACATGAGGCAGATGGGGAAATGCTCACAGAGAGTGGCATTTTCAGGTATGATCTATCTCCAGCATCCAGACTTTGGGGATACTGTGAGAGAAGAGACAGACGGACAGGTGTGCAGAAGGCATGAACCACCAGGCTAAGGAGTGTGTTCTGCTATTGGTCTTGGTGGGAATTGGGGGGCCTAATGATTCCATCGCTGATTAGTGCTCAGATTGGACCAGAGAGGGAGAGACTAATGGCAAAAGGCAAAGTGACCAGGGCAGCTCCCTATGCCCCACCAATGCTTGCCCCATAGTTCTGGGCCTGGCACATAGTCAGCCCTTGATAAAGATTCGTTTTCTGTCTGAATTAATGATGCATGATCGAGCCAGGTAATACATACAGAGAACCCAGGGGTAGCTAGCTTGGTATGACAGGATGATTTATGGGCTTCGAATCATGGCCCACACTAAGCACACAGATAAGGCAATTTATAAAGCTGGTCAACAGCTTTGAAAGCTTTTCTTCAGGAAACAGTTCCAAGCTTTTAGCAAATACACCCGTTTTGATATTTAATAAGCTGACAATTAAGAATACTAGTTTGTTGCCTGTTACTTAAAAACTATAAATGTTGTGGCCGCAGGGTGTCACATTCTTAGTTCATTAAACGCCCCCAGTTGCTGCACTAACGGCAGTTTTCAATTTGCTCCGATGTGAGCTCAGAAGCAAGCCCAGGTGCCTGCACTCTGCTATGAACACGGTGAGCAGGAACATAATGGAGAAAACATCTTTTCCTCAGGAAGGAGACGGGGAAAGGATAACCTTT